GGACTACTATAACAGACCGTTTGAACGAGGGAGGAGAGAGAGAGGAGAGAGAGAAAGAGAGAGAGAAAGAGAGAGGGAGGAAAGAAAGAACGAGAGGGAGGAGGGAGAGAAAGAGAGGGAAACAACTACTGTGACAGACCCCCGAGGGAGGGAAGAGAAGGAGAGAGAAAGAGAGGAGATAGAGGAGAGAGAGAGAAAGAGGGGAGGAGGGAGAGAGGGAGAGGAGAGAACTACTGTGATAGACTGAAAGAGGGAGGAGAGAGAGAGAAAGAGAGGGAGGAGGGAGAAGAGAGTGAGAACTGCTGTGACAGACCGTTTGAACGAGGGAGGGAGAGAAAGAAAGAGGGAGGAGGGAGAGAGGAGAGAGAAACTACTGTGATAGACGGTTTGAACGAGGGAGGAGAGGGAGAGAGAGAAAGAGAGGGGAGGAGAGAAGAGAGCGAGAACTGCTGTGACAGACCGTTTGAACGAGGGAGGGAGGAGAGAAAGAGAGGGAGGAGGGAGAGGAGAGAGAGAGAACTACTGTGACAGACCGTTTGAACGAGGGAGGGAAGAGAAGGAGAGAGAAAGAGAGCAGGAGATAGAGGATAGAGAGAGAAAGAGGAGAGGAGGGAGAGGAGAGAACTACTGTGATAGACTGAAAGAGGGAGGAGAGAGAGAGAAAGAGAGGGAGGAGGGAGAAGAGAGAGAAACAACTACTGTGACAGACCGTTTGAACGAGGGAGGGAGGAGAGAAAGAGAGGGAGGAGGGAGAGGAGAGAGAACTACTGTGACAGACTGTTTGAACGAGGGAGGGAGAGAAGGAGAGAGAGAGAGGGAGAGAGGAGGAGATAGAGGATAGAGAGAGACTGAAGGAAGGAGAGAGGGAGAGGAGAGAACTACTGTGACAGACCGTTTGAGCGAGCGAGGGAAGAGAGAGGGAGGAGATAGAAAGAGGAGAGGACGAAGAGGAGAGAGAGAGAACTACTAAGACAGACAGTTTGAACAAGGGAGAGAGGGAGGAGAGAGAAAGAGAGGTAGAGAACTACTGTGAACGAGGGAGGAGAGAGAGAAAGGGGGGAGAGAGAAGAGGAGATGGGAAAAGGAGAAAGAGTGAGAGAAGAACTGTGACAGACCGTTTGAACAAAGGAGGGAAGAGAGGAGAGAGAACTACTATGACAGACCGTTTGAACGAGGAAGGGAGAGAGAACGAGAGAAAGACGGAGAGAGCTACTGTGAACGAGGGACTGAGGGAGGAGAGAGAAAGAGGGGAGGACGGAGAGAGAACTATTATGACAGACTGTTTGAGAGAGGGAGGAGAGAGAGAAAGAGGGAGGAGGGAGAGGAGAGAGAGAGAGACTATGACAGACCATTTGAACAAGGGAAAGAGAGAGAGTGGAGAGAGAAAGAAGGGAGGGGGGAGAGAAGGAGAGGGAGAGAGAAGTACCATGACAGACCATTTGAACGAGGGAAAGAGAAAGAGGGAGAGAAAGGAGAGAGAGAGAGAGAAGAGGAGGTATAGAGATCTACTGCGACTGCCCGTTTGAACCAGAGAGAGAGATAGAGAGAAGAGAGAGAAGAGAGAGAGAAAGTGAGAGGAGGTCAGAAGGGCTGCGGTGGAAATTTCCATCACAAGAGCGACGAGAAAGAGAGAGAAAGAGAGAGAGAGAGAGAGAGAGAGAGAGAGAGGATGGGAGGAAGGAGTGAAAGAAAGAAGGAGAGGTTAGAGAGAGCGTGAGTGTTGAGAGAGAGAAAGAGTGAAGAATGAGAGAGAAAGGGAGAGGACGAGATGAGTGATACAGAGACTGGAATGAGAGAGAGAGAGAGGGGTGGGGTGGAAAGAGGGAGATAGAGAGACAGGGGACAGGGAGAGAGAGAGAAGAGAGAAGAGACAGGGAGAGAGGAGAGCGAGAGAGAGAGAGAGAGAGAGAGAGAGAGAGAGAGAGAGGGAGAGGAGAGAGAGAGGAGAGAGAGGGAGGGAGAGAGGAGGGAGGGAGGGAGGGAGAGAGAGTGGGGTGGAAAGAGGAGTGAGAGAACAGGGATCAGATCTGCGAGGTGAAGCTCAGGTCAGTGTTTCTCTTTCACTGTTGATACAGACTCTGTGTGTGTCTGAACCAACCAAACATGAAACGCTTCACACAAACACAAACTCTGTGTCATTTACACGAAAATACAAACACATGAGCAGAAATTAATAGAAAATATTGATAAAATACAGTTTTGTTTTTTGTCACTTAATTTTTATGAAATATTTTATACAATAACAAAACAGGCACAGTTGACAAAGAATTTAACAAACATTTAGATGGAAAAATATACATATACACACATATATACACATGTACATATACACACATATATACACATGTACATATACATATACACACATATATACACATGTACATATACACACATATATACACATGTACATATACACATGTACATAGTACACACATATATACACATATATACACATGTACATATATACATATACACAATATATACACATGTACATATACACACATATATACACATGTACATATACACACATATATACACATGTACATGTACACACATATATACACATATATACACATGACACATTACAACACACATGTACTGTACATATATAACAATATAATGTACATGTACACACATATATACACATGTACATACACACATATATACATATACATGTAACACATATATACACATGTACATATACACACATATATACACATGTACATATACACACATATATACACATATATACACATGTACATATACACATATATACACATGTACATATACACATGTACATATACACATATATACACATGTACATATACACACATATATACACATATACATCATGTACAACGACATATACACACATATACACATAATATACACATGTACATATACACACATATATACACATGTACATATACACACATATATACACATGTACATATACACACATATATACACATGTACATATACACACATATATACACATGTACATGTACACACATATATACACATGTACCATATACACACATATATACACATATATACACATGTACATATACACACATATATACACATGTACATGTACACACATATATACACATGTACATATACACACATATATACACATGTACATATACACACTAGGGATGGACATTTGATTTTAAATTTTCTTAATTCATCATCGGGAGAATTAACGATTGATTAATCATTAATGTTTTTATATTAAAATGATCATCATTATTATTACTATCTGCACTACTAATCTGCATAAATAAATTCAACTTTACGACATATAAACCGTAACGACTCTAGAGCCACATCAGCCCGTTTGACATTATAATGTGTTTAATGCAGATTTGTGCAACTCTCACAGAAACAAAACTTAAAACCTCATGGCTAATTTGCATAAACTAAGTGAAGAAAACTACAGCTCTTGTGTCACTGATGTGGTTCAATTTCTGTCGGTTAAAAGACATGACTCAGTGGAATACAGGTTAGTGTGACCAGATTTGCGTTTGTCAAAACCAGGACACTGTACAGGGGGTGTGGCCTCCTCATCGACATTGAGCGACTCTCACCTGGCAAAGGTTTTCATGTTTTTCATTGTCCTGGTGCATTGAGGTCCCTGACACTCCCCACTGGACACCACTGTGCACATGGCCTCACACAGGATGAAAAGTGGGGAATTTCTTGTACAAGTCATTGTTAAATACACATTTGAGCTTCAGCGTGTTGTAGACTGACCGACTGTTTGTGTCTCGCTCCTTCTGAGTCACAGATGCTACGAAAGACACTCAGTTTAATGGTGCAATGAAAGGAAATGAAAACCCAGACATTTGCATCACTTTATAAAAAAAAACCTGGACAGCCAGGACAGGACGTGTAAAACGGACATGTCCGGGGAAAAACGGATGTTTGGTCACCCTACGCTACGCGCAGCAACCTACATTCAGTTTGTCAATAAAAAATGAACGTAATCGACAAAATTCTTAATGATCAATTATCGATTAATCGACTAATCATGCCCATCTCTAATACACACATATACACACGTACATATACACACATATACACACGTACATATACGCATATATACACACATATACATATGTACACACGTATACACATCTCTCATACATGTTACCCTGGAATACTATTGTTTTATAGGTACATAGCTAGAGCAGCGCTAACTTAACTAAACTTCACTGCGATATTTAAGGGTTGGAGGGGGTCAGTGGAGCGGACTAACCCAGAGATGGTGCACCGCAGATGGGCAGAGGCTCTACGTCACCTGCCCTACAATAAAAATGACCCTGAACAATAAAAGAGTTCTTATGTAGCAGATAGACTCCAGTGTGGTCCACTTTCACACCGACAAACAAACCAGAACTGGTCCGATTCGTGTTTCATCAATGTTTATCTTCCGGTAGAAAGAAGCACCCATTTTGACTCGGTTTGGAGCGACACATTTGCACTTTGGTACTCGCTCTGATCTTCGTATGTTACATTGTTTGTATTGGTAATTGTTGGGAAAATATCGTATTCAAAAAAGCGACTGCAGTGGAGTTTCTGACGGCCTAGATTGCGTCATTTCAGGTAGAGGAGACGAGGTATTTTCATGGATTTGGTCGTGCTGACTGAGATGAAGATTGTTCCCAAGACCCACAAGGTTTATCCGCTCCCATGATGCATTTGGAGTAGTTTGTTTGGACCTACTATCTACGGTTTGGACCTGAGTTGGCGTTTTGACCAGAGGGACGCCACCCCAGAGTTTGACGGACCGAGACCACATCTTTTTTGAGGTCTCGGTCCATTTGATTTAGCGTGAATCCGAGCGCGATCGAAGCTTTCGCACCAACGAAAACGAACCGAACTTGGAGCTTTTTGATTCGAATGGAACGTCGCTGCTGTCGTCGTGAAAGCACCTAACACACGTACAGAAGTTTGATCATTAACGTGTCTTTTTGTTGGGTTTGTTTTTCCCACAGGAGCAGAGGAGCGGTCACTGGAGTCCCCACGCAGAGTGAATGGGAGGGGGGGTCAGAGGACGACGACATACAACAAGTCCACAAAG